GAAAAGAGACCGACACCCACCTCGCTACAACCTCCTTTCAGGTAGTTGTAGAGAGCGATGAGGTCTCCCCTCAGCCTCCTCTTCTCCAGACTAAACAACCCCAGTTCTCTCAGCCGCTCCTCATCGGACTTGTGCTCTAGATACTTCACCAGCTTCGTTGCCCTTTGGACACACTCCAGCACCTCGACGTCCTTCTTGTAGTGAGGGGCCCAAAACTGAACACAGTATTTGAGGTGCGGCCTCACCAGTGCCGAGTACAGGGGCACGATCACTTCCCTACTCCTGCTGACCACGCTATTTCTGATACGGGCCAGGATGCTGTTGGCCTGGTTCATTCTTCTCAACAGTTAGATGATCTTGGGAATGTGCATGTATTCATGTTGTTTTTTTCTTGGAGCCATCTGGCCTACTTCAAATGGATGTGGTTTCATATGAAAAGGGATTGATGGAACATAGAACTGTAAGCAAAAGACACTTTACTCCCCAGGTCAGTCTTGGGGATTTTTCTTGCAAGAAAACATGTTTTCCTGTTAATTCATCTATCATTTACTCTAGCTCCAGCAGTTTCTCTATTAGTGGTGGTGGGAGAAGGTCAAGAGTTCTGGAGAAGAGGGTTTGTTTACCAAATGTCTTCCGATTGGTAAGAAGGCAGCTTGGAATATAGTTCTGAAATTCTTGACATCTGTGTATCTTACATGGAGTTTGACAGCTGCTCTTGCATCAGTAGTTCTTGTCATGAATTTGAATAGTTCACATATGTAAAGTGTGAATTTTTAAAGGTCAGGATGTTTATTACTTTGTCTTAAGCCCAGGATTGCTAGCTAACAGATTTTCTGTGGAGAGGAGACTTCGCTCTCTTGTGCTTCACAGAACGCTTCTAAGGATGAAAGGTTGACCTGTGATGCCTGGATGTTCTTTGGCTGTGGTTTCTTGTTGCAGCTAAGTTGATGTAACATTTTAGTTTAAGGACTCTGCTCCTTTTTCCCCTCCTATTCCCTTCCCCCAACAGTGCATGCCTATGTCCTTGCTTGTTCTTGTCTGGTTCTCATCTAACTAACCTCATAAAACAGATGGTTCAGGGAGCTAGGTTGACAGGTGGAATAGCAATTTCATTGCACTGTCTTTTGAGATGAGCAGGACAAGACATTTCTACCTCCCTTTACTGTGTTTGAAAATTATTGCAAGGTCAGGATGTGCTGTCCTTCTATGTCTTATTGTAAAAACTGACCTCTGACCCTTACCTCATGGCGCTCTGCCTTCCACACCTTTTTATGTGGACTGGAAGATAGAGCAAGGAGAGGGCTTTTAGAGCAGCCACCTTGTCAGATTAGACCTTCTTCCAGCTAAGCGCTTACAGAGGACATCCAAGTGACTGTTGTCGAGTTGAAGTTACTCTTCATGAAACTCGTTGTCCAAGAAAGATACTGCTTTGTATCTTGAGTCCAAGTGTGCCTCATACAACTTGGGGGTGGGGGCAGGGTATGGGAATTGCTGAAATTGAATCATGTTGAAATTGAAGCAGGACGAAAGCAGTTCTGTGCAGAAGCTTCCTAAACAAATTTCAGTTTGTGGGAGAACACTTTCTTAGTGTTACGTGGCAAGTGTGTGCACACCACGTTATGACTCAACCATCTAACACCAGTATTATTTCTCAGCCTCCTCTAAACTGCTCCTGGTTTCTTAGATGCAGAAGAAATGCAAAGACATTTTTGGTTTCTCTTGGCTGAAGGTCCCAATATCTTAATTCAGTCTTGCAGGGAGATCAGGTATCCTAGTGATAAGAATCAAATAATGTTTGTGGTATTGTTTGCAAATGCTAGCAATTTTGCATAACAAAGGAATATATTTTCTTTGTCTCTCTATTTAGTCAGCTGCTAATCTTCAAACCAGCCACACTGAAGATGAAGAAATGAAAGATGAACAGAATGGAGTTGAAGATAAATCAGAAGTTGACACAGAAGCATAAAAACAAACCCTATTCCATTAGTTTTGTAAATGAAAGAATTTCCAGTGAATTAGACCTTTATTTTTCTACCTGGTTGGACAGTGGCTTCAGGGCAGCAGAGGCTGAAGCCACCATGCCACAGTCAGTTACAGCTTTATATGTCTGTTGAAGAAGCTGAGTGGCAGCATAAATCTGGTTTAATCCTAGGGACTTTATTTATTCATTCAGCCTCTGTTACTGTTTGGGTTCTGTCTGGATTTACTCTGCTTGGTTTATTTGCATTTTGCCATTGGTGTTTGTCTCTTTCTGGTTCCAGCTCACTTTAATCCCAGGTTCTGCTCCCTAAATTTAGTTCCTTGATTTCTTTCAAGTAATCAGGCTTTTCCAGGAGTCCTCACATGAGACTTGAGAACAAATTGGCGCTCCCAGTTCTTCTGCCTTGGCATTGCCCCCTTTCCCCCTGTTCAGTAGGGAGTCCCTTCCATTACGTGTTGTAACCTTTCTTGTATGCCTCCTCTTTGCAAATTGCTGAAGGTGAAGACTGTGAAGTCACAGCTTAAGTAATAAAGCTCCAATTAAACTCAAGAAAACAGAACTTTTCGTGGGTTTTTATTGGAATTTGCACAGAATGGAGAGAATTTACTGTCCTTTGGTCATTCAGCATTTTCTCATCCACATAGCTGTACAGTAGCCACAGTATCTGATTATTTTTCTATGTTGTTCATTCACTGCCATAGAAAATTCCCACAATAATCGATACAGTATTTACCCATGTATTTGCAAAAGGAAAAAAAATACGTTGCTGAAAATTGTACAAAAAGCAAGTCTGTAACCTATGCATAGAGCTTATTTTCTGTTCATATTGCTACCTTCCTCTTCACCCCCTACATTGTAAAACTGGACCAGAAAAAAGCCATTTATTTATACCTGAAAGTGACTGGCTTTGAAGAGAAAATAAGTGATAATGGTTTAACACATTACAAATACTTGTAATTCCTAGTGAACTACAAACTTCTGAGTGATTCTAATGTTTGCTTATCCCCATCTCACAAGAAAGCTATTGCTTGATATTCTGCTTCTTTCTGCAGTATGTTGTGTGTGGTGTTTGGGAGTGGGTATGCTTTTGGGTTTTGTGTGGGCTTTTTGTTGGGGTGTTTGTTTTGTCTGTCTGCAGGCATGGAACATAGTACTCAAACTCACCTTCTCTGTTTATCCTGTTATGTAGTGTTAAACTCAGCATCTCCACTGTCCTGTTCTGAGACCCTTTAGCAGCAGGGACACTTCTTTGCCTGCTCTGCAGGAGGAAGGTGGATAATCTGTTCCTTTCAGATACAAAAATGGATTTTTTTTGCAGTGAGAAAGATGTCTTGTCTTGGCATGGGGTGGGCTGGAATTATGTGTATATTGCAGAGGGTATTCCTGTTTTAACACGAATGACGTCTGAAATCTTAGTTTGAATTCCTGGTCTCCTTTGCTGAGACAGAAGTACTGTACAAGCAATTATTCATGAGGTTCTTATGGGCTGGGAGGTTGCCAGCATCTGGCCCTGCAGGAGCACCAGCTCGGGCCTGGCAGCTGTGTAACTGAACTGTCACCGAAGTGGTAAGGCGTGCTTGACATGCTGTCCAGGCCCAAGACAAGTTCACTACCGGCTGCTGGGCTGGAGCTAGCTCGGGGAGCTGTGAACTGTGCTGCTCTCTGCGTGGTGTAACAGTGCCCTAAGCTTCAGTGGGGTGAGGGAGGGATAGGAGACGCAGGATAAAGTGCTTGGTGGTAGGTCATCATGTTTAAGGAAATGCTGATTTGATTCGCTTAGCAAAATCTTAGCGTTGCCAGGTAATGCAGGTGCTTTTCATGAGTTCTGACTCTCAATAGTATCAGCCCTGTGTATGTGAAAACTGTTTCACCTTGTACCAAGCCATGACTAACCTCTAAGGGGAGTGTTACAGACAGCTTACAACAAGGTGTGAAGAATGTCAGCTGAAGTTACAAGAGGGGATTTCCAGACACAGAACAACAGTAAGGGGAGCAGGAATGTCAAGCAAGAGTTCTTTTTCTCCAGCAAGGAAATACCTTGATTTGTTGGGAATTATTACTGGAAATACAAGCCCCTGTGGCTGAAACTCTTGTTGCTGTGAAAGTAAGTGTAGGGCCAGGTCCTAATTATAAATTTCTAATTCTTGAACAATAGTTTTCAAAAATCTCCCACAGGGATGACAGTTCTTCAACATGTTTTTGAAAGCAAGAAGTGAGATTATTTCTGTAGAGCATCTAAAAAATTCCTGGAGTTGATGGTGGATATGTTAAGTGTGAGCAACCTTGAAAATACCATTTTGCCCTCATTGTTACTACATAACAAACTGAAATGTTTAAGAATGTAAATCTAAGGACACTAAATGAGCCCTGTTCAGGCAGCTGAAAGGAGGTTCTGTGCTGCCTTTAAAAATGGGTCTAGTTGCCAGCAGAAGATGGCATACTAGTGTTCATGAGTGAGGTCATGCATGTAAACTTCAAATATAAACTATTTGTTATGTCCTTATAGAAAAATGCTTAAAATAAACGATTACAATAGTGACTTTGTAAACCACACCCACCCGTCTCTCTCAATTTATGAATCCTTCATCCTGTGCGGTATTCTTGAATAGTACAGTACCTCTGAAGTAACAGAAGTGTCTGGTTCGCTATCGTCTGTGAAAGTGGAAGCAACCGCTCTTTGCCCAACCCACCACAGAAGCGGGAGGGAACCGCTCAGTGCCGTTGGATGGTGCCCTCGGATCTGACCAGGAATTAAACAGCTCGTTTGCAGAACGCGGTAGGGGAGCGGTTTTGCTCCTAGGAGGAGCTGGATCGTGTAAAACGGCAGCCAGGCTCCCGGCCGTGGGCACGGGGCTG